CCTCTTAAATTGTTCACTTCCCGCAAACCTAATATACTCCTGTACATTTTATTTACAGAGTATAACAGCTATATATAACGGGAAGTACAAAATGCGATTTTTTCTTGTTGTAGAAAACTGAAACACAGTCAGTGTTTGTCACACGAACAATAGAGCTAAATAAATATAGTGGGCCCCACACCCACCCACAGTCAACCTATGCACTCCCCTTCACTCGATTCGAAACGATTTCGCAAGGCCAGATCGTGGTAAGCAACAGTTTTGCTATTTTTGTAACACTTTGTGAGCGCGTGCTTCTTGGTTTTCTTTGCTTCTTCTTCTTCAGTCACTTTTCGTCAGTTCTCATTAGTGTTATTGATATTCTCAATAATCAAGCAATTAGCGTGTACACTCGGACTGAGAATGTGATCATGATCATAAAACCGTATAGCATGTAGCACGAAGCCTAATGGGTATACTAACCGAGACGTGACACAAGTAGAAAAGGCATTAATAATACGAGCATTATTGCACAGTAGACGTTAACACCTCAAAAATCGATCGGCTAATTTCTCAGACAAAACATAGTAAAACGTGTTGCAACAGTAAAACCATTTCACCTGTACTTTCCCATGAGGACTCCAATCGATAAAGGACAGTACATTACATGACCATGAAATAGGAAATCTGGGTTATTCTACCTCTTTCTGTCTCACATACATTCGCGCTAAACTAACTCAATTTTTGCCGCTTAAGGGGATACTTAAATACTTTATACACCGATCGAATGTTTTAGAAAGTGTCCGCCGAAGAAAGTGTCCGGATAAAAGAGGTGTCCGTTAAGGGAGGCCTAGGGCCTAAGAGAGTCTACATACCAAATTTGTTAAATGTGCTCTCGGCCTTTTCTAAATTCAGCCAGACGGATGGACATGTTTAAACCGATTCGTCTCATCATGCTGATTCAGAATATATATGTATATACTTTATGGAGTCGGAAATGGCTTCTTCTGCCTGTTAGATACTTTGCAAAAACCTAATATACCCTTTTTACCCTGAGGGTACAGTACATTAAAGAGTGAATACTAGTGAGCAGCGGTCAGTAATTTAACAGATCAGTGATCAGTAATGTGACTGATCAGTTTCTTTTGGTAAATGAATGTTGTTAAGTTTAGTAAACCATGTATTCGATTTCGTCTTCAGATATAACAGCAAACGGTGCGATAAATCAAATGCGAACTCTATCAATACGAATACTTGCGCTCGGAATTTGTGTTTAATTTTGAATGGAAAAGTTTTGCATTCTCAGTTATGATTTGGTTCGAAACTCAGAAGCAAATGTATGTTCGTAAAATGTCATTTCACTCATTTTAAGAAAACTTAATTGTAGCTGAAGTAGCCCAAACCAATCATACATACTAAGTGGGGTGAAAAGTAACCTCCTTGACCACCAAAATGCGCTACTATCGATAAAATGATTATGGGGCCTTATAGTCCATTCATATTTAGGTATGCTTAGTAAAATTCGGCTCGATGGAGCCCTTAGTTTTTTTTTTACAGCTGATAATTTTTGATGCTTTTGGCAAAATGGCGACCATGGAAAAAAAAACGATTTTCGTTCTCTGATAAAGCATTATTTTTTGAGACAGAAAACAGCAAAGGAAACGAAAGAAAAGTTGGACAAATATTATGGGGCTTATGCTCCTTCAGACTATACTGTAAAATATTGGTTTCGAGAGTTTCGTGGTGGCCGAAACTTCACTACTGATGAAGTGCCTAGTAGCAGGCCCTCCGATGCGGTTACTCAGGAAAATGTCCAAAAATTACATGAAATTGTGTTGGCTGACCGGATTTGGATTTTCGGTGCTACAGAGTGTCAGTTATTGCATCACTTTCATAGCAAACTCAAAAATCCAAAAATATTAGGCCCTCAGCTTTCAAAATCATCACTAAAATCGTTATATGTTTATGGTCGACTAATATGAAATATGGAATTCTAAAAGTGTGTCAATATTTTTCGATATATCGACTGTCTTAAAGCTCAAAATTAGCAGTAATATTAGTGTAGTGCGATGAAATGATGTGCTGGGGCCGTCCATAGTGATAATTCGATAAGACCACATATGGTTTGCACGGATATGACCAGTCTCAAGGTCAAGTTTGCTATTCAAGCTGTTTTAGTTGGAAAATTCTCCATGTTTTCCGGATGGCCAAACAGGCGGTAAAGTAGGCGGACAGACTTATTGTAGATTCATGATGATAAACTATGTATCCAGTCGTCCATACTAGTATGCCCTCCTTCCACCTTTCGGCTACAGGGTATTCAAATTAAGAAGAATGAGTTACCAGAATGTCATACAAAAACCTTAAATTTCGACTTTTATCTTTTTAATTAAATGCAAATACATACATTTTTGGGAAATCTTTGTGACAGGAATGCTAGTGTCGAGCGGGCTTAAGTCTTAAATACTCTGTACAGACTCCCATAAAAAAGTGGATAAGCTATAGTCGGGTGTCACGACATTGAAATACTTTGTACATATGTTTGGAACAATTATAGAACATTGACAAAATTAAGAAACTTGAAATAAAAGAAGTAACGAAATTGTAATAATACAACAAATTTTGTTGACCGGTTATACTTCCTTCGGTATTCGAACTCACGTAACGGTTGTGTATAACTGTACATTTACGAACTCATTGTGTCAATGTGAGTCTATGCATGTCAGTATGTGTACAGTACAGAGGTGAGCCAAATCAGCAGCAACAACAATAGCTGCAGGTAGAGCTTGGGCAGATTGGGAGATTAAATTTATAGCTATAACTTCCTTTCAAGTTGACCTATTATGATGCGACTTGGCATACAGACATTATTACTAACTGGAGGTATTTGCCAAATTTGATTCAAAAATTCTCAGAGGGGAGGGAGGGAAATTCCAAACTACACATGTTCTGCATGTTCACATAAGGCACCTAAGGACTACAAATTGGTGTCTTTAACTCTTATGGTCTCCGAGATATACGTGATTATACGAACGGCGTTATGGAAAATCCCCATTATCGGGGGAGTGGGGAATCAAAAAACAAACTCGCACAGCGTACACACATACGGCATCTTTGTGCAAAATTTGGTTTCTCTATCTCTTATAGTCTCTGGGGTCCAGGTGTTCATACGGACAGACAGATAGAGAGACAGGCATAGATCGACTCTCCTTGCCATGCTGATCAAGAATATATATGTATACTTTGTGGGGTCTGTCACGCCTCCTTCAGCCTGTAGCACACCTTTTTACCTCTTACTCTTACCTCTTTACCTCAAACGTAATGTAATTATGGAAGAAGACGGTCTTAGCCACACACCAATGATGCAATAATTAAGCAAACATAGGCCCGAGAGAATGTTGGAGGCGAGCAATTCAATTTAGCGAACATATACAAGTATATGTATGTACTTAGTATGGACATTAAAACGGCTGAGCGGACCAAGATCCAATTTCATAACTGATAAAGGCTGGCAAAAAAACCTCAAACGTTCTTCCATACGCGCCCATATGCTTCAAGCTCGATTCGAGGGCATGATAATACAAGTAGTACCCGTACTATGTGCATCCACATCATATACTTGTAGACTTCAGACAAATTGCACAATTATGAAGTGCACAAATGTGAAGTGCGTTGATAGTGACATAGAATTCTACATACAGACTAGTCTGTATGTGCGAGTGTGTTTGTATGTTTGTATATTAAAGGCTGTCCACTTGCCCGCATTTATAATCTACAGACCCATATAATTATAATGGTGCAGAGCACTGATAATGGGCAACGACGACGGCGACGTCACACACTATAAAACAATGACGGTTCCCCTTTTTGCTTTGCAAAGCCAATGCCAATATATGTACGTATGTCTGTACATAAGTATATTGCCCCTGCTAAATACTTCGATTTGTTGATTTGCCGATAAATCACGCGGCTTTGTAAAAAACATTAGATTAGGTCACCAATTGGTCGACAATGCGTAGTTGTTGTTGTGTAAATTGTGGCAATTACCTCACAGCTAATTGTTCCATAATTTTACAATTATGAACCAGGCATAAAAGTTAGTTTAGAAACATTTAAAGTGAATGTAGACAATAGAAACAAGTGCAGAAGCTAATGTCGGGTGTCCCGGCTTTGAAATACTCTGTACTTGTACATATATTTAGAATAATAAAACCCCCAAAAGCATTTATATTTTATTTGTCAGTGTGAGAAGACGAGCCGAAGAGTGAACTTGATGCTGCAGCTTATGGGCGTAGTACCGGAGTGAAATTTTTTCGCTAATAACTTTTCTTAGAATTGACCAAATCGGTCACATTTGATACAAACCTAGATAATTTTATATAAATTATGTGTGTATAAATTTGCGTTTGGTTAATGTAGCTTTTGAAATGTGGACGGTATTGACGAAATCTTGTAGCGGGGGAAGGGAAGGGGGGGGGGGGGGGGAATTCCAAAAAGTAAAATAAACTCGTATAGACTAGGGGCGTCTACATACCAAGTTTGGTTTATGTGCGTTCAGCCGTTTCCGAAATCCAGGCGCTCATACAGACAGTCGGACGGACGGACATGTCTAGATCGATTTCTCCCGTCATGCTGATTCAGAATATATATGTATATACTTTATGGGGTCGGAGATGCTTCCTTCTGCATGTTGCATACTTCGCACAAACCTAATATACCCTTTTTACCCTTCGGGTACAAGGTATAACAATTGTCTGATCGATTTTGCCTGATTTGGTAATCGAACTCACGTAAAGGTTGGTCGTTGCGACTGATCAATTATAAGTATGAATAGCTTGTGGGATGGTGTGGTGGATTAATATAAGAAACCTAACACATATCCGCATTGTATGGATGAGAGTAATTCAGGAACGTTTAAGACAAAGTTGAGTACATAAGTTAATGTCCTTATGTTTATGCATTATAAACACACAAAAATAACAAATCGAAAACGATTTCCCTTTTTCTCACTTTCTTTACAGCTGGCCACACGCTCCATTGAGCCCTCGTTCGGACTGCTCTTTGGCGATCTACTAAAGGATCTTGATGTGGGTACTACTGGCGCCTCTGTGATAATCAGTGCCATGGATGTGTGCATGAACTTCTCGGGCTTGTTCGTGGGTCCACTGCTCAAGGAGTTTTCCTATCGAAAAGTGGCCATTGCGGGCTCACTGCTCTGTGGCCTAGGCCTTGCGTTGACCTCGCCCGCCACCAGTATGGCGCACATTCTAGGCACATACAGTGTGGTAAACGGCATCGGAGTGGGTCTATCCACATCTGCCGCCTTTGTAGCGCTCAATCATTACTTCAAGTACAAGCGTGGGCAGGCGGTGGGCCTCTCGATGGCTGGAACAGCAATGGGAATGCTGATAATGCCACAGTTGGTGCGTATTTTACTCGAGGCGTATGGCTTTCGGGGCGCTGTGCTCTTGTTGGCCGGTGTTGCTCTCAACGCCACCGTTGGGTCAGTGCTCTTGCAGCCTGTGAAATGGCATATGAAGGAGGAGCTGGAAGATGAAGAAATGATGACCATATCGGCATTGCCAACGCCACAGCCACAGTTGATGGGTAGCACCCACGCCCCTGAATTTAAGGTTATCAAGGAAGATGGCACCGAGGAGGATGCGTTGCCCGAAATGAACACTCTGCTTTTCCATAAGCACCACCTACACCAGCCGCAAAATATGCGAAAGAACTATTCAGAAATGGCAATGAACACAATGATTGGCTCCCGTTTGGGACTGCCCAAGCGCCCGACGTTTCCACGCATCATGTCCCTGGCCGGCGTACAATCTGCAAATCCTGGTGGTGATCCTGGCAGTGGCGGGTATCCCTCGCAGGCCGAGGTCAATGCAACGCAGCTTCGCTTTCGCAAGCATTCGGTAACTTCAAATCTATCGTACATGGATTTTACCGGCTCCATACTGCAAGTTCATCTGAACACCGGCGACGATGAATTCGAGCAAAATGATCGGGAACTGAAACGCGTAGGTACTGCCACGGGCAGCATGCTTGGCGGTCATCGCGATTCGTTTATCAAAATGAAGCCCACCGAACTCGACAAACAGGCCGAGGCTCAGGCCGTCACAGATGCGGATGAGGAGAAGAAGAAAAAGAAGCCAAGCTTTTGGCGTCGCTTTGCCGATTTACTAGACATTGCAATGCTTAAGGATAAGATGTTCCTGAATCTACTTTTTGGACTTTCCATTTTCTACGTTGCCGAAATGAACTTTAAAATGGTCACACCATTTTTCTTCGCAAATCTCGGCTATGATAAGTCAGATGTAGCCTTCTGCCTGTCCATAACAGCGATAACGGACATTGCAGCCCGTATTGTGCTTCCACCGATTTTCGATCGTACGACCATCAAGAAACGCACAATTTTTCTTGTATCCATCATATTTGTGGCCATCACGCGTTCCAGTAAGTATTGTCAGCTTATGAAATACATTCACTTATTACTTAGAAATGATTCCCTGTACCTAGAGGGAAAAAGGTACACTAGTTTTGCGCGAATGTGTTACACACAAAAGGATGCGTGGCAGACTCCCAAAAGTGTGTGATCCGCATGACAGGACGAGTGGATTGAGCGCTGTCTGTCCGTATGAACACCTGGCTCTTAGAGATTATAAGAGTTAGAGACACAAAATTTTACACACAGCCTTATATGTGTTCTACTTTATTTTTTTGATGCACCCGTACTCCCCCTACACCCCTTCCCACCACAGCCCTTCTATAAGGGAATTTTTCATAACTCCCGTAATTGCTGGAATTTTCAATCCAAAGATGGCAAGCACCCCCAGTTAGTGTTTATGTATCAGTATGCCAAATTTCATCATGATGGATGAGCTTGAAAGGAAGTTACAGCAAAAGTGTAATCTCTGCCAATGCTCTGCCCGCATCTGTTGATGTTGCTTTGATTAACACTGTACTGCATGCATACAAGCCCATAGGACCGCATAAGCTATGTGTGTGACACAATCCCGGGCTGGAGCAGAAATCACTTACTTGACTATTGGCATATGATGAAATTTACATGATGGCATGGGCAAGCAATAACTGGATGTAATTGTTAAATTTGATTACAAAAATTCAAGATTACGGGAGCTATTGAAAACAATAATAGGATGAGGAGAATCTAATAACCAAATTTGGTTATTTTAACTCTTATACTTTTCGAGATCTTCGGGTTATACTGTTGTTATACTGATCCAGAAAATATATACGCCTCCTTCTGTGTGTTACACACATTCGCACTAAACTAGTATAACCTTATACCCTTTGGGCACTCTTAGCCGAATTAGTTAGGTCCAATTATATCTTGTAAATTATTATGGTCACGAGAAAATAGAAGATTGCCAGTATTTTTATATTAGCTGGTAAAATATACCAAGAACTGAAAATCCGTTCATTGGCTTTAGTTATATCATGCACCCCTATTTGGTGGTCGGGCTTAGAATTTCACCATAGATCGTCACCACTTGTGGTATCAGGCGACTAAAATAGATACCTGGGTTGTCATCTAAGTCTGTCCGAGTCCTGTGATCAGCAGAGGTATTAGATACGTTTCGCACCTTATCCAAAGGGGAGTGCATTGCACTCATTTAAATTGGTAAAATAAGTTCTTTCAGACATATCGCATAATGCCTTAAATATGTGGGGAGATAATTTCTAGAAAGGGTCCCAGTTTCGGCCCCATTTAGGTAAATTGCTCTTTATATATGGGTTTATGGGTAATTTTGGATGAAGGATTTTTAAACATAAATGTACATGCATGTTCATATTTTATTTTGCAGTTATGGCCGAGCAAACGGACTGGACACAACTGATGCTTTGGCTCTCGATATGTGGTTTTTTCCGCGGCTCGGCTCTTAGTAATTTCACACTCACCGTCTCGGAGTATTGTTCCTTGGAGAAACTGCCCTCGGCCTTTGGTTGGCATCTGGTGGGCAAGGCCCTTTTTGTCATCAGCTTTGGTCCGTTGATTGGTGAGTCTGAGACAAGTTTGTCACATCACTATTTTCAAATTTAATTTTTGTTTCTTAAATAGGTCTCATTCGCGATGTCACTGACAGCTATCCAATTTGCATACACGCGCAAAGCTTCTGCATAATGCTCTGCGCATTGGCATGGGGGATTGAATATCTGTGGGAGTTTATTCTGCAGCGTCGACGCACCAAGGACGCCACACAAGTTGCCACAACAAATACAACGGGGGCGCAGGACACGAATGTTAAGTTGTAACTAAAAGAAAAAAGAAAGAAACCCCCAAACCGTCAAAATTATATGCTTGTATAATCATATTGAAATAGGAAAAAAAAAATCAGATGGCAGATGTACGTTTCTACAACACCACACATTATTATATACATAAAGGTGCATATATATTATACATATGTATACATATGTATTTATGTTTGCCGTTATATATAGAATTACGTTTAGTAAATTCTGCCTAGTTAACAATTGAAAAATTATTCTATTATTACTGTTGCCTTTTATTTTGGTCCTGAAAAGTAATGCCAGCTGAAATGTACGTTACTGTATCCAACAAAAGAACAGCAATGTCAACAAATTATATACATTTAGAAATCGTATACTAACTTGCAAACATTTCCCTCTGTTTACTTAACTTCTCTCTCTCTCTCTGTTTTTTGATTAGTGAACTTGTATGTGATAGTTCAAAGATAGTTATGTAAGCTAAAGTAGAAATATACACTTAAATCATGTATTAATGATGTGCATAGAAGCAGACAGCAAATGACTTTAAAATGCACCTATTTTTGGAAAAATGAAACAAAAGCTGAAACCATTAAATATACTATTAATACTACCTATATATACTATACCTAAACACATCTTATGTACGAGTACATACACATTTTCATCAGGCAGTTTCCGGTTCTAAAATCGATCTGAAGATCTGCAACTTAACATTAAACTCCGATAAATATCTGAAAATTGATCATCGGATTCGGATTTCGGAAACGGCCTGCATGTATGGTGGTATGGTACCTATCTTTAAAATTAAAAGGCGATTTACCACAGACCTATTTTCACTATCTGCAACGAAAATACGGTACGGTCAGACTAGCGTTTACACTTTCTGATCTGATATTTTTTATTATAATATTATCGCACAAGATAGTAACAATAGGGTCTCGGTTTTTATTGAATATTCGATTGAGCTGCGGCGCAGAACTTTAAAAACACTGACAAAAATTACAGCAACACTTGTACCAATTGTACATATATATTAGACGAAAGTTAAGCAATTTATTGTTACCAATGTGCCGAACAAAATACAAACGATTTGTGTTTATATTAAGTTTCAAATCGAACTGAATAAAAGTTTGGATTGCCTTTTAAGTGAGGCATGTCCTTATAACCATAAAAGTACACAAAGAATGGCGTTGACTTGAAAACTAAAAGGCCGATTTTGATTAAGACTAACATTTAAATGAAAACTCATATTCTTTATTAATCAAGACAAATCGCTGTCGCTATCCCTCTCTCTCTTTTTTTCTGTTTCACTCTCTTCCTCTCGATCTCTCTCTCTCTCACCCGGATATGTTTCTATTTTTTTTAATTATTTGATCATAACGCTAATATCGATGTTTTGGTCCTGGGCGACAGAATGCAGAACCTTTGCAATAACTTCACTGATCTAAATCAAAATTTATTTGCAATATAACTCTTTAAAGTGGTTGGCAGTGGTTGGTTGGATCGACTCGTCTTGTCACGCTGATCAAGAATATATATATTTTGTGGGGTCTGCCACGCCTCCTTCTGCCTGTTACATATACTTCTGTACATTTCATGTACATAGTACAATTACAGGGAAACAAAAACAGGAAAATTAAAAAAAAATTATTTAAAAAAAGTTAATTAATTAAATTAAATATAAAATATTAAACACATGCATATAATAAATTTGCGTGTTTATATGCGTGTATGTATGCAGCACAAAGTTGAACCAAAGTAGCAACAACAACAGCTGCAGGCAGAGCATGGGCAGCGATTTTATTTATGGCTATAACTTTCTTCATAATTTTCATAATTCATGATAAAACTTGGTATACGGGCTCAAAATTCTTAAAATTACGGGAGTTATAAAAATGTACAAACTCGTCCTTTCTCGGGCTCAGGAGAATCTGGCTACCAAGTCTGGTTATTCTAGCTCTTATACTTTCTGAAATCCTTGCGTTCATACAGACAGACAGGCGGACAACCAGACGGACATGGCTATATCGACGCGGCTTGTCATCCTGATCAAGAATATATATACTTCTGTGTGTTCCATGTACACTCGCACAAAACTAATATACCCTTTTACCCTTTGGGTACAGGGTATACAAATTTATATTTAATCAAAAGTTTAAATAAAAAATCGGGACACATATTAAACAAAATTTTAGTGTCATGTTTGTGTATATGCGTGGCTGTATGTACATACATATGCATGTATGTATGTAGCAAAGAATTGAGCTGCGAGCAGAGCTAGGGCAGATAATACATCGATGGCTATAACTTCCCCTCCTTTCACGATGAAACTTGGCATAAGGATACATAAGCACCAAGTATGTAATTTTCGAATTTGAGTAAAAATTGCAACAATTGCGGGAGCTATGAAAACCCTACTAGCAGAGGAATACTCAACTCGGTAGAGTACTTGAGTCAAGCTCGGGCCTTATTGCGGAATTCTTTGTTGCCCGGTTTTCCATTCATGTTTTAATTTCTGATCAGACATGGATCCCACATAACTTTATGGATTTCTTTATCTGCTATACAAACATTTTGATAACTGCTCCGACCCCATCGACGCGTCGCGATGGGTCCCTTTCCACGCGAGCTTGCAAAATAAATTATTTAACTAAGGACCATCCGAATTCTTTTTTAAATATTTGTTTATAGTCAATTTTAAAACAAGTAGAGCAGCTAAAATCGGGCATCCCGACTTTGAAATACTCTATACAAATGTATGTGTAGAATAAATATGCGTGTCTGTGAATGTCTCGTGTGCCTGTGTAAAGCAGAAACAACAAATATATATAGTAAATATATGCCTATAACGTCCCATTAAATCGGGCTATCATTATGAAACTTTGCATACGAAGTCATAATCACTAACTGGGGGTATATGAATGGTGTGAGCGTAAAAGGCTTCTGCTTTTGTAAATCGCAAGAATACTTATTTTGTATTTGCTTTTTTTATAGCCTGTACCCAAAGGGTGAAAGGCTATACTAGTTTTGTGCGAATGTATGTAACCCACAGAAGGAGGCGTGGCAGACCCCACAAAGTATATATATATTCCTGATCAGGGTGACAAGCCGAGTCGATTTAGCCATGTCCGTCTGTCCGTCCGTCTGGACGAGCGCAAGGATCTCAGAAGGTACAAGAGCTAGAATTACCAATTTTGGTATCCAGGTTCCCCTAAGCCGGTCAAGTATATTTTTGTTTTCTGATGTGTTTTTTATACCCTGTACCCGTAGGGTAAAAAGGGTATATTAGGTTTGTGCAAAGTATGTAACATACAGAAGGAAGCATCTCCGACCCCATAAAGTATATATATTCTTGATCAGCATGACGAGAGAAATCGATCTAGACATGTCCGTCCGTCCGTCTGTCCGTCTGGATGAACGCAAGGATCTCCGAAACTATAAAAGCTAGAATAACCAAAATTGGCATCCAGATTCTCCTAGGTCCGAGAAAGGACGAGTTTATTTTTTTTTTTGTAATTTTCCCCCCCTTCCCCCGCTACAGAATTTCGTCAATAGCGTTCACATTTCAAATGCTACCTAAACCAAACTTTGCACACATAATTTATATATAATTGTCTACCGTTGTTCAATTTTATATAATTCGGTCAATTCTAAGAAAAGTTATTAGCAAAACAAATTCTCGCCAGTACAACCCCCACAAACTGCAGCAACAAGTTCGCTCTTCTTCTTACTCTTTTTGCTGCTGCTATGGGCGCATATAACTCAGTGACGGAAGTTTACCTGGGTACAGGGTATTACACTGTCGGGCTTGCTCGACTGTAGCGTTCTCTCTTGTTTTTAATAACTTCCGTAATTCTTGGAATTTAGAAATCAGTTTTAGTAGCTTACGTCCAGATAGTGCTTATGTGTACGTATGCCAAGTTTCATCATGATAGGTCAATTCTGAAGAAAGTTATAGCCATAAATAAAATCGCTGCCCATGCTCTGCTTGCAGCGCTGCCCGCTGCTGTTGTTGTTGCTGCTTTGTGCTACATACATACACGTTTATAAACACGCATAGACACGTGATGTAAATGTAAAAGTGTACATAAACATGTCTTATATGTATGTATTAAATAAATTTTCTTAATTAATTTAATAAATTAATTTAATTTTATTTATTAAATTTTTAAAGTTATTATTTTTTTTTTTTGTGGAGAGTACAGGCTGTTTTACTGTCGGGCTTGCTCGACTGTAGCGTTGTATCTTGTTATACCCTGTACCCGTAGGGTAAAAAGGGTATATTAGGTTTGTGCAAAGTATGTAACATGCAGAAGGAAGCATCTCCGACCCCATAAAGTATATATATTCTTTTTGCTGCTGCTATGGGCGCATATAACTCAGTGACGGAAGTTTACCTGGGTACAGGGTATTACACTGTCGGGCTTGCTCGACTGTAGCGTTTTCTCTTGTTTTTATACTCTGTACATGAAATGTACAAGAGTATATTAGGTTTGCGCGAGCTGAAAAATGTAACAGGCAGAAGGAGGCGTGGCAGACCCCACAAAGTATATATATTCTTGATCAGCGTGACAAGACGAGTCGATCTAGCCCTGTCTGTCTGTCTGTCCGTCCGTCCGTCCGCCCGTATAATCACCTAGATCTCAGAGACTATAAGAGATAGAGACACCAAATTTTGCACAAAGATGCCTTATGTGTGTACGCTATACGAGTTTTTTTGATTTTCCCCCCCATTTCCCCCCTATGCGGGTTTTCCCGATTTTCCATTCGTGTAATCGCTATATCTCGGAGACTATAAGACCTAGGAACACCAAATTTTAGTCCAAGATGCCTTATGTGAATACAAAGAAAACGTATATTTTCGAATTTCCCTCCCTCCCCCCTCTCCCCCGCAAATGCGATTTTCTCTAACTCCCGTAATTCTTGGAATTTCGAACTAAAATTTTGGAAATGCCCCCAGTTTGTTATTATGTATCAGTGTGTCAAGTTTCACTATGATAGACCGATTTAGCAAGAAGTTATAGCCATAAATATATTTGCTGCTCAAGCGCTGCCCACGGCTGCTGTTGATGTTGCTGTTTAGTTGACTGCGAAAATGCTTACACAGACACAAATAGACGCACATAAACATACATACACTCATATGTGCAATTATATACCCTTTACGTGAGTTCGAATATCGAGATAGGTAAAATCGATCAAATTTTTTTTAATTTTCTTAATTTTTTTTATTTTCTATAATTATTGTAAACATATGTACAGAGTATTTCAAAGTCGGGACACCCGACTTTAGCTTTTTTACTTGTTTGTTTATTTCTATGCCGAATTTCATCAATAAATAAAAAAAAATTCCTATTCTGTTGTGTCATTACTAAATGAAAGCTTATTTCATTTAATATTTAATTTTGTTTTAAATATATATATTTTATACTTTATATATGTTTAAAATATGTATACCTTTCGTTTGTTTGTTTTTAAATAAAAATCTTTACATAATTGTTTTTTTTTGTTTTTGTTAATGTCTTTTTTGTTGTTGAAAACTTTTTTTTCGGTTCAAGCTTTTTACTAAAGTTGCGAGTTTAAAAAAAATATTTTAAAAATTAATTTAAAACAAGAGAGAACGCTACAGTCGAGCAAGTCCGACAGTAAAATAGCCTGTACTCTCCACAAAAAAGGAAAATTAAAAAAAAAATTATTTAAAAAAAGGTAAATTAGTTAATTAAATTAAATATAATTAACTAAAAAATTATTTTAAAAAATTAATTTAATTAACTAAAATATATTTAACTAGCAGGTATTGCCCCCCCTCATAACCTGGCTCAATATAACGGCGCAATATAACGTTGTAAGATAGACTGTGTGCAAAAAAGGGAAAGAATTATAAGAGTATATCCTAATTTTAAATTCACATTTGTGTCTTTTCGTGCCTTATTGAGTCAATACGATCACGCACGAACTCGGAATATGAAACACAGCACTCGTGTCAATGCCGTGCAGCGATGAGCCACGATCAAAAAGCACTGACAATTCTCATCTCAATTTGCTAGAGTAAAACTTTCGATAGTTGAAGCCACCGATACCATCAAAATATCGAAGTTTGAATGCAATAAACAGAATATGTACATACATACATCTGCCCGCAATGCGAAGCAGAATATGCGTTATTCGTTTTCTGCTTTACTATCGCTTACTCAGTCGTTGTCTAGCGACGGTAACTGTAAACTTTTGGCATTTTTCCTTTGCAATTAAAAGGCATATGTACATAGATGATCAAAAAGTTAAAATTACTTTATAAAATGTTATATATTTTTCAATTAATTAACATTTCTTGCTTTGTCAGTGCAAGACAAATGTACATGCATACATATGTAGATACATACAAGTACATAGATGTGCACATATGTATGGACATTCACACATTAGTGTCTCACATTTTGCTTTGGCTATTTCAATCGTTTGCACGCAACTACACGAACAGCTGCTTGCATGTGTGTGTGTGTGAGTGTATGTATACTTAGTTGTCCCCACCTGTTTGATATTTTGTATTGTTTGTTCTGCCTGCTTTTGTAAAATGCATATTTTGAAAATCCTTGAATGCAAAGTTGTAGATTTAGTTACGTAGATTACATTATCCAAATTTTAAATCGATCGGACTAAATTTATAACACAAACTTTTCATTTGAAATAGTGAATAAATATTAAAACCCCAATAATTCAAGCTCCACAAATTTCGAAAATCTAAGTATGCAGTTTTGTATGTATTCTTTGATTGATTTTAGAAACTAAGTTTTAAGTCGATCGGTTGAAAAATTTTTCAAACAAACTTTGGAGCTACTCTTCCCCCCTTTTGAGCTTGAATTTTCCAAAATCCCTTCTTAATGCACACTTACACTATGATAGGATACTTGACCCCAAATTTCAGCTTACTAGCTCTTACCGTTTGGGCTGTGGGCTGTTGACGCGGTTTCCTTTTGTGCCCCAAGAAAACCCAAATAATTCAAGCTCCAAAAAAAAATTTAAAAAACCGAGTATGTAGTTTTCTTTGTATTCTTTTATTGATTTTAGAAACCAAGTTTTATGTCGATCGGCTAAAAAATGCGGATTTTTCAAACAAACGTTGGAGCCTGTTTTCCCCCCTTTGGAGCTCGAGTTAGTGGGCACCTAGACTATGAAAGGATACTTGAGTCCAAATTTCAGCTTCCTAGCCTTTACCGTTTGGGCTGTGCGTTGATCAATCAGTTAGTCAGTCAGTCAGGACAAACTGTTTTATATATAAAGATTATGATTGAATTCTTTTATAGATTATACAAATCAGATTTGAAGCCAATCAAATGAACATTGCAGATTTTTATACCCTGTACCTGTAGGGTAAAAAGGGCATATTTGGTTTGTGCAAAGTATGTAACAGGCAGAAGGAAGCATCTCCGACCACATAAACTATATATAGGACGAGTTTATTATTATTATTTTTTTTTTTTGAATTTTTCCTCCTCTTCCCACGCTACAGAATTTTGTCAATACTGTCCACATTTCAAAAGTTACATTAACCAAATACACACATAATCTATATATAATTCTATAGTTTTGTTTTAAATTTCATCCGAATCGGTCAATTCTAAAAACAACTCCAGTACCACGTCCACAAGCTGTTCGCTCTTCTTCTTCCTCTTTTTGCTCCTGCTATGGGCGCATATAACTCAGTCCCGGAAAGTTGTCTGGGTACAGAATATTACACTGTCGGGCTTGCTCGACTGTAGCGTTCCCCCTTGTTTTTCGACCTTTGGCGTTCGTAGTTTCCAAAATGAGTTATAGTTATGGAAAATCGTGAAATTTACAAACGTGTCATTTCTCGGGCGTAGGAGATTCTGTATACCAAGTTTGATTATTCTAGCTCTTATACTTTCTGAGATCCTGGCGTTCATACAGACGAACGGACATGGCTACATCTTATCCGTCTTGTCACCCTGGTCAAGAATATATGTATATTCCTTGTGGGTTCTGCCAAGCCTCCTTTTGTGTGTTACATGTACAAAAATAATATATCCGTGTACCCTTTTGGGTACAGGATGTAAAAATGCACATATACACCTATTTATTTCCTAAGAACTATATTTTATTTTATTTACAAAATTTTAAGTTTAAACGATTTGAAAGTTTTGTACAGTATTTTCTTATCTAATCATTGGTACTACGAATTAACAAGAAAGCAAGAGCAAGAAAAAAATATATTAATTTTAATTTAATTTAATTAGTTAAATTTAATTAATTAACTAAATTAAATATAAAATATTCCATACAAGCATACATACATTTACATCAGAATCGTGTCTATGCGTGTTTGTGTACTTGTATGTATGTGTGCATTGGGCCTGGTTATATGGCTATAACTTTCTTTCTAATCACCCTATATGAAATATAATGAAACTTGGTATACGGATATATAATCATTAACTGGATGTGTCTACCAAATTTTAGTTCAAAATTCCAAGAATTACGGGAGTGATAGAAAAACGTAAATAGGGGGGAGTGGGGGGATGCATCGGGAAAAATGAACAAACTCGTCCTTTCTCGGGCTCAGGAGAATCTGTATACCAAGTTTGGTTATTCTAGCTCTTATACTTTCGGAGATCCTTGCGTTCATACAGACAGACGGAGATGGCTATATCGAGTCAGCTTGTCATGCTGATCAAGAATATATATACTTTGTGGGGTCTGCCACGCCTCCTTCTGTGTGTTCCATGTACAATCGCACAAAACTAATATACCCTTTTACCTTTTGGGTACAGGGTATAAAAAGTCTATGCGCATGCTACGCACCTTAGTCATAGCCACAGTTTATTGGCATTGCATTTGCATTGCCAGATAATACATGAATGGCCACAATTCGAAAGTGTAGTTAACACATTAAGCTTGGGATGCGGACAACTAATCTCTACAACAATGCGATTACAAACAATATGGAATGGAAATTATTAAAATGACAGGAGTTGTAACTAAACGTCTTTAAGAGCGCAATAAAATTCACTTTTGATGATGGCAATGTAAAAATTGCGTACACGTATGTATGTTCTTATTTTGATAATGATAATGACAATTGCCTTCATCTAGGGGCGACAATTTGGCACTAACAACATCCGCTTTACGTATATTGCGTGAAAAGTAAATTTACAAGTGCATAAATCATAAAACTAGGAAAACCAGACACCTTGAGTTTCCATAAATAACACGTGGATTTATCTTATCAGCGCTGATTGTTGTACGCACTCTTCTGATGTAGTTGTAGGTGAGCAATAAATTTGGAAAACGCCATACTTGTATTCTAAGCGCAAACCTGGTTGTCTGACCCCTATGGGTGGTTTCAAAATAAATACGCTTAAGTATTTGCATGTTATATTAATTTTCCAAATCTTTCCATAACTCTGTTTTAAGCAAATATCAAAGAAGCTTTGAGCTACCCACAGCATTGTGAGAGTACAAAAGGATCGTTTATCAGATAAAAACTGAACAGTAGCAAGTGTGAAGTGCCACAATAACGTTTGTTTACATGGCACAGCAGGAATGACAAACAATTGAAAACTAGATGGGAGGTGGTCGTTCTCGCTACCATCATCAGCTACAGATGTACAAGTATTTGACTATCTTGAGTAATCTAGCATGTCTTACAAGTATTGCCACAGATCCAGAATGCTGTGCTTGCCAAATACTAATCTTATCGGAAACCATGTTTTCGTTTCGGCTTAGGAAACTATAAAAAAGTATATATGTATATATTCTCACTATCTTAATTGGGATGCTACTGGCGAAAGTTATATGGGTACTGGGTATATGGTTTTTGCTCATTTAATCGTAAAGACAGTCACTTACCGTTCAGCAGTAGGAGCGGCAGCAACACAATGACAGCAACCAAGTCCTTCAAGATGGAAGCTCCTGACGGCGGCTGGGGCATCTTCGTTTGCATAGGCATGGCCATGCCATTTGTAAGTAAAGTGTGTCCTGGACCTAAAAAATGATTTTGTGTGAGCAACGTGTGTGAGCAAGTAGTTCAAAAAATTATTTTCATGCGCACGATTTTAAAGCTACATAAGAACAAATACGGGTACAATTCATGATCGGCATCTGCAGCACAATTAGTTCTATTCTCTTCAAACTCAGTTTCCTTTTGTAACTGCATTGAAGAATTTTTGTGACTTCACAATTTTACAAATCGTAAACGAAAGGGACGACGGATTAGGTCGATTTTTTTTAAAAAACTTTCTGGGTATACTAATCAATGGATCTATACGACGTTCATAAAACCCAAAACTTTGAATTAATTTCTAAGTAATTATGTGAACGGAATGAACATACATATCATACAAGGAAAAACAACGCCCTCTTTTGAATACTATATGTACATCGAAAAAGGCACATCAAACTCATGATAAGTGTTTAATTCAAGTACCTTTAATCTTCATATGCAGGTAAGCGCGTTGGCCTCATTGCCATCTTTTGGCCTGGTCTTCGGCGACTTTCTCAAGAGTATTGGCGCAGAGACAAGCGCGGTAGCTTTTATCACCAGTGCCTTCTTCTGCTCCCTCAGCTTTGCTGGACTACTGTCTGGTTCACTTTTCCGGCGTTGGGGATTGCGGGCAGTCGGACTGACCGGCGGTATCCTTTACTTCCTTGGTTCCGTCCTGCAGATTTTCGCGACGTCTACAATGCATTTAACGTTCGCCTTCAGCTTGGTGCAGGGGATTGGCTTTGGCTTAATGGTCCCCACATCATACACAACCTTCAACAACTACTTTGTTAAGAATCGTGTGCTTTGGATGAGCTTTGCCCAATCGTTAATTGGCCTGGGCTCGATGCTGTATCCGATTGCAATGCAGAAGCTGCACCAATACTACGGCTTTCGAGGCTGTCTTATGGTGTTGGCCGGCATTAATGCACACGCTGTGCTGGGTATGTTGCTCATGCAGCCTGTGGAGTGGCACATGCGTAGAGTGCCGCTTGCAGCTGAGGAGTTGCGGTTGCAGCAGTCACCGCCACCAGCGGTGCATGTGGAGCCCGAGACGCCACTAAGCCCGATGACAGAGTTACACTTCACTGCGACGCCCACGGAGCCTCACCAACACCTTACACCATCTTGTCGCAGTCAATTTGGCTCACGTCGTGTCTCGCGTGCCGATGAAAACGCGCTGAAGATTATTTCCAGTCGAGCCTCCAGCATCACCAGCCTGGGCAATTGGTCAGGTCCGGTGGTAGTTACCGATGCCTCGCCTCAAATGATGCACAGTCTACAGGCATCGCGACGGCCATCGACTGCCAGTGCAGCAGCTATGTTAGCCACGTCAACCACTCCAGCAACGTCAACGCCTCCTCAGACCTCGAAAAAGAGCTGCATGCGCACAGTTGTCGACTTTCTGGATTTAACGTTGCTCAAGAATCCCATCTATGTGAATATGGCATTGGGAACATCCTTCGCCTTATACTCCGATATTGCCTTCTTTACACTCCAGCCCATTTATCTGTTTGAGTTGGGTTACACGAAGGTACGTATGCAGCATTGTTTCAAATTGAATGTAATTGAAAAAGTGTGAGTGTTTAGTTCGGTTATTTTAGAAACTTTAAAATGTAAGACCTGAAGATATGTTCCGTAATAGAAAACCATCTTGGTTTTAATGGGCACACTGATGATATTTAACATCAATCGCACTGTTCGTCTTTTTAGCTTTTTAGCCATAGAGACAAAACCAAGTCTCAATATTATACAACTTCCATAGAAAATATTGATGGAAAAGCTAATCTTAATAGCAAATACTAGTTTCTCAATTACAATCACAATCAATGCCAACTGAATTACAGCTCCAATAACAGCTACCGGCAGAGTCAGGGCACAGATAAACTTTTCTGGCTATAACTTCAAACGGTGTTTTTATGATAGAAAGTGGCACACACACATAAATAAAAGAATAAGATTCCAGAATTGTTTTTCGAAACTCCATGAACCACAGGAGTTATTATAGAACGTCTAAAAACAATTTTCTATACATGTAATACATAAATACATATATGAAGAAGTACATTTTTAACCAAAAGATCGGACAGATGGACATCGTCACAATATACATAGCACACCTTGTGAAGTCTACCACGACACATATAACATACATACATACATACACACATCAAGCATATACATACATATGTACATATGTATACATGTACATACATACATACATACATATGTATGTATGTATGTATATACTTTGTGGAGCCTGCCACGCCTCCTTCTACCTGTTACATTTTCCACTTTCCGCAAACCTAACAAACTCTTGTACTTGTTAGGTACGAAATATGAAAATCACGAACGTACATACATACATATACAGCCCGTGCGTTGGACGCAAGCCGCTTAAACCGTCTACTTGTTCTTTTTCTTGCAGCCCGACGCCGCCAATATTATCGCTATAGGCGCCGCCGCCGACTTGGCGTCGCGCGTTTTTCTGGCCGTCACCGCCATATGCATTCAAGTGCCATCCCGTTACATTTATTTAGCCGGCGCCCTATTTACCGTTTTCGCACGATTTGGTATATATCATAGCAACTAAAAGATATGTATGTACATATGTATAACTAGAATGTCTTACAGCTTTCAATGGCGTTACACAATTTTTGGGAATGGCGTGCATCACAGCTGTCATGGGTTTCCTGCGTACTTGGGTACACGTTCCGCTCCCGTTGGTTTTTGCCGATTATTTGCCGAAGGAACGGTTAGTCAAATAATGTACACATACATACATACATATGTAGATACCTACATACACACACGTACATACATAATCATTCCTTTTTTGTTACAGTTTTGCCAGCGGGTACGGTTTGTTCATGTTTATGCAAGGCAACATTATGTTTCTCATCGGCCCTATTGTAGGCTATATACGCGACAGCACAAAGGATTACATACTAGTTTTTCATATCTTAAACTTTTTCATGGCACTTTGCGCTATACCCTGGCTTTTGGAAGTCTTATACGTTAAATTCCGTCGGCGAACGGCGATCGACCGCAATAATGTGTGCGAGCACAATGGAAACGCCAATAATACCCTGGCGCACTAAAAAAATCAAATCTCAGTAGAAAGGACTCATACATGCCTATATACATATGTACATACATGAGCGCATCACTTACAGAATACTACAAAAATAAACTGATACATACATATGTATGTATGTATGTATAAAATAAATTGCGCACTTACCTAAACACTGAACACACGCGCACCACTCGAAACCAAGACAATAAATGGCGATCTTTAAAGCAAAAACTATATCGCGACCGTTATGTGTGTATACATACATACATATGTATATATGTATACATATAGGGTACATACAAACCATGATCGAATAGTTCAAAGCCGAGTTGCATCCGATATCGTTGACCTTGGGTGACTGCGATTACGCTTTTTCTCCGCCGTTACCACATTGTACAGAATTTTACCAAGAGGCCTACTATAAACATACATATAAACATAAATACTGCAGAAACTTTGCACATATGTATGTATGTATGTTGTTCACTTACCTTTTACCATCCTAACCACAGGTTTGTTTGCAAATAAAAAACATTTGAAATAAAAACAAGAATAGTAATGTCATTTCGCAAAATAACCATTCACATCGCAACAGGCAACATGTAATCATACTGCCAAGCGGTGGCATGGTTTCTTTCACACCTTCTGATGTTAAATTTAAATTTAACAAATGTATGGAATAATATATTTGAAAAACACTTGTACATATAACGTCGAAATACTGCAAAATCTATACACATATGTATGTCGTTCACCTACCTTTTACCATTCAAACCACAGGTTTGTTCACAAATAAAAACATTTTTAAATAAAAACAGGACTAGTAATGTCATTGCGAAAAATAACCATTCACATCGCAAAAAGCAACTTGTAATAATACTGCCAAGCGGTGGTATGGTTTATTTCACACCTGTTTCTGATGTTAAATTTAAATTTAACAAATGTATGTATTAATATATTTGAAAAGCACTTTAATTGGCGGAAAAGCGCGCACAATTTCTCAGAATCCGAAATTGGTAGAAGAATCGACATTTTATATCGTTGGACATCCCCTAACTGTTTCTCTTTTATTTCTCACTGCTACGAAACGTATTATCGACACACTCTTATCGATACGTTGAGTTACGCGTTCTATAGAGTTGAGCTTTTGTGGGAGTGACTATTTAGCACGCACAGCTGTCATTGCATGGCTATTGGCCACCACACATTTTTTATTTTGCTTCTTTTCTGCATACCCAACTACGTTAGCTACTTTTTGTGCTGAACAGACAATTCATTAGTTTTCTTCACATTTGTTATCTGGGCCTATCCACAGCAAAATGGTGTTACAACAAATAAAAATGCTGCTGTTGGGCATCATAACATTGTGTCGCCGAGCATTGTGTTGCTTCTCCCGGCGCCGCAAACTAAGTCATGTCAACAATGAAGACCACCAGCTACAGGCAGTCAACGTCATTGTAGAGCGAGGCGAATTTGCAACAACACACCAGCAATCTCACCGAGGTGGCACTTTGGATCAGCGAGATTGGAACTCCTGGGATGACAGTCCACGCACTGTCGAGGAGCACATTGAACAATATAGACAGCGCATGGCGCAGCCGCCAACGCCGCCGAAAGAAGAACCAGAGCCAGATTTCTTTAGCGTAGGTTTAATTTTGCCTAACTACATATTATCGAATCTGCACATGCACACACCTTTAAAGAAATACTTCCTTCTGTAGGAACTGACGCCAGACATTAAGCCACAGCTCAAGTATTACTTAGCCGATGCAGTGAGCACGGGCACTGGGCAAGTATCAGGCCAACAAACTGACTTTTCAAGACTGCAGGCACAGGACACGGTGCCAATTAGCTCCACTGTATGGTTCGCTTTAACTTCTTGGCGACGCTTCAATATAATGAGTAATTTAACTTTACCCACAGGCTGATCTAGAAGATTGGGTGGACGACAATGCGGGTGGCTGGGAGGAGCTAGACACATCCCAAACAAAGCAAATTATACGCGAGAAACGACGCGAGCTGCGTCATCAGCGCCAGCCCATAAGCAAGGCGCCACAGCTCAGCATTGGAGCCCAGCGTCTCAGTGATGTGCAACGTGGCACGTAGCCTATCGTCGCAGATCAAAATAACTGATCCTGGAGCAGCTGTTGGCCTATGTTTTCCAAAAACTGTTCCATTTTTAATTCCCTTCTAGATTAACTTTTGCTCCTAGTTGAGACGACCGTTTATACTTTTAAGTTATTCATGGATTGTGGCACAAAGCACTAGCCAATAAAGTTGCACTAGCTGCATCTTGCCTTTCACTCGCACATCCACACTTCACTGTACCAGTGGCCAATTGCCCAAGCTGTCCGCTAACCATTTCCTGGCACTGCGGCTGCGGTCACTCGCTCGCGTTCCAATTGCCAATCGTTTTTATGCACGACTGGGCACAGGCAAACATAAAAAGGCGGCTAGCACTGGGAATTTAGCTTTAAACGATGTTCGCGCCGTTGACGCTGATGGTTGGACTGCTGCTCTGCTTGGCAGGCTCTTCCCATGGAACTGGCTACAATGAAGGCATTAACTACTGGGAAGCTTTTGCGCCAGGCAAGTTACTGCAACGTTTGGATTCTCTAACACAAGTGGATAACATTACAAATGGTGGAGAGACTAACGCCAGTCGATTATTGCCAGCAAAACGGCATACAAACGCCACAAGCTCTAAAGAAACGGCACACCGCAAAGCCGATGAGTATGAAGATCACGACGTGGAATTGGATTCTGATGATGTCGCGGACCATGCAGAGGAGATTGACAGTCACAGTGGTGAGGTGAGCAGAGAGGTACATGACGGTGACGACGGAGATGACTACGAGCGGAACTATGAGCAGTTTGTGCGACAATATTTTGATCGTGTACACGACAGCAATGGCGAGGATGATGGTAGCAAAGAGCTGGATGTCAGCTTGCACAGTGGAAGCGTAGAGAAGGAGTTTCCTGCTCAGCTGCAAACTGATTATGATTACGAATCAGCCCCGTATGCTAGCACGGTAAAAAAGACGAAGCAACGAGAAGAGGGCCGGGACAGGGACAGGGATCGGGCTCAGGATCGTGATCAACAGCACTGCAAGCGCATCCTACGTCATGGGCAACTGTGCACGATTTGCCGAGAGTTGCGCAACAATGAGATCAGTGAGACCTGCAGTTACTCGCACGAGGGCGAACCTCAGAGATATGCCTATGGCAGTGGCACACAATACAAACGCTATCGCGATGATTCTGTCGATTCAGAGGGTGACAACGATGAGGCGCGGAGCTTGCAGAGGCCAATGGCTATTGAGAGCAGCTTATGCGTGCGAAGCCTCCACAAGCAGCGTGTTTGCTATGAGTGCAAGGACAGCGATGGGGAAAAGATGCGCCGCTGCTATAATGCCCATGAGGATGCAGTGCCTCCGCGGACTCCACCATCCAAACCGCTGCGGAAATCTCACAATGCCGAACAGCGCATATACAAGCGAACTGTAACCTATGCCTACGATGAGCATGCTAGTGATCACGAAAACGATGGTAAAAGCAGCACAGCCAGGCCCACGCCCCTAGCGACTTCAAAAAACTATAACCCGAATTTGTTCGGTACGGGAGCGGTTGCGGGTGCAGTGGCGCGAAATATAAGAATAATACCGATGAAGCGTCAGCGCCATCGCCGAACAGTCGTCAAAGTCTTGCGAACGAATCGCCGGAGCGGTATTTAGAAAGATTGCCCTAAGACTTGGGTTACTTTTTAAAGTTTTTTTTTCATATATTTAAAGTTTTTTTTATTATATGAACATTTTGTTGTGAATGTTTCGTCTTACTGTCGGAGTTAAAATACATAGACAGACATGTCTAGATCGATTTCTCTCGTCATGCTGATTAAGAATATATATACTTTATGGGGTCGGAGATGCTTCCTTCTGCATGTTACATACTTTGCACAAATCTAATATACCCTTTTTACCCTACGGATACAGGGTATAAAAACTGTGTATGAAGTTAAATGTTAATAAAGAATTCTCCCACTCTTTGCAAAGAAGAATTTATCTTTATTTTCAGTACATCAGTATAAAAACCCTTGACGACACTCCAACTCACTAAATTGTTGATATCATATGTGTATACATACATATATGTATACATACTATATGTAGTATGTGGAAAGAAAAACAAGACTTACAAAATTTCTGCTATCAGTTTTATATCGAAGGAGTCAAGTCTCTTTAATTGTGTTACTGTAAAACAAGCATTCCAATTGAAAGACACATGAATACATATTATGATACTATGTACTTCATTTTAAATTTGCATAATACTTTAGACATAAACAGGATACAACCTTATATCCTGGGTACAGGTACCCGAAAGGTAAAAAGGGTATACAAGTACATATGTATTAGTAGTTGTGTTCATGTAATGTAACAGGGAGTAGAAACCATCTCCGACGCTATGCAGTATGTATGTGCATATATTCATAATCATAAATAAATAATCAGTATAACGAGACAATTCGATCTAGGCGTGCCCGTCTATCTAGATTGCGGAAACGGTTGAGGCGATACTGATCCAACTCAGTGTGTAGACTCTCCCAATCCCTACAGATTAATTATTTTTCTTGATTTCGCTCCTCCTTCCGCCACGTCAGAGTTTCGTCAGAACTCCATAAAACATGAATGAAAAGCTGGACTTTATGTCTTTTCTTTGATACAGTCCCCCGCTCTCAGGTCTGCATATCTTTACGGTCAACATATTTGAAATCTGAATCAAAATCAGGGAAGTATGTCTCAATCTCAGATCAAACTCAACTCAAACTTATCTGTAATACTAGTGTCGTGTGCTGACACCATGTGCTGGTGTTTTTTTGCGACTACATGGACTGACCCCCATGATAATAAAAAGCTATTTTGTACTTAATTTCCATAGGTACTAAATCCGATCATAATAGTACATAACTAATATTGTAAGTAATATTAAAGAAGTTATCATTTGTGGGCAATTTAAGGAGACGACATTTCCAACCAGGATTCCCTCCATAGTTTTAATTATTTCTTTTACTGGAAGGTATCCTACCGAGATTGAAAAGCCCAGACAATATAAATATAATAAACAATATTTGTATGAGAGCGTTTATGTAGGAAAAGTATAATCTCATTTGTATAGAGAAAGTGGTAACCAGTCGTTATGACAAAGAAGATAATCGAATATGAAGGATCGAGTACATGATATTATGAGTATAATATACATATGTATTGTTCGACCAGACTCGCCCGTCTTTGCTGGGCTTACGATAACTACAACGATATTTGTTCAACTTATGCAAGTGCACAATACATATAGTAAATAGAAAATATACATTGTTTATAGGTTCAAACATACATTTACTGTATATTTAACATGCAGGCGTTATTCATTTAATTTTACAATTCAGAAATATTTGGTGTTCTCAATTCAAAGAATGAATGATGATGAATGTGAAAGGATCAATGAATGGGTTTTTGTAAACCGGAAGAATCTTGTGAATTCTCAAAAGGAAAGGTCTGTGCTGAGGTTAGTTAAAGCGACGACATTATCCTGATGAGTAAGGTTACACGTAATTGTATACGAAATACAGTGAAAACTCTCTTGGCCAGACACTCACAGTCGGCCCATTTTTGTCCGCTTAAGGGAATACTTAAATACTTTATACACCGATCGAATGTTTTAGAAAAAGTGTCCGCCAAAGAGTGTCCGGATAAAGGAGGTGTCCTTTAAATGTAAATATACAAGTAGAACGAGTCTGAATTACTTATTATGAAACAGAAATGCGATTCTATTTTTTATGATGATCTTTGTACCTCCGCACCTATTTACATATATAAGTGCATGTATGTGTGTGTGACACTACTTTCGCCTATTTTCCAGTTTGATTCTCCTTGGAGCCCGCCAATCGATCAGGCGATCGAGGGTACATTTCTGGTTTTCGAAAAATGGAAAGGTAAGAGGAAATGACGCAAGAAACTTGAATTTGGCTTTGTTGTTTTTCAGTTTATTGTTTGTTTTCTCCTTTATTCATATACTTTTTTATTCAGTTGTACATAATGTGGTTAATTTTCGTTTTGTTTTGTTTCCTCGACATTAAAATTCATTGCACTAAACACCGTGTGTGCCGCCGCCCTTTATCATTTCGACTGCGAAATGGCGTCGTCCTACTCTAATTGGTGCAGAGGCATCCGCACATCGACAAAAATAAACACATACACACACACACACACACACACGTTTTTATACAAAAAAATGTATGAAGAAAAAACCGCAAACAGTTGACTTACAAAGTATATAAATATATGTATGTACATACAAGTACAAGCGATTGAAGGTAACTTTCTCGATCTATTATTCACTCTGTTGGCCACTAATTGCTCTTCAATTGCGCGTGGGTGCGTGTGTGTATGCATGGATGGCATAAATTCAAAATATATACACTAACGCATAATGATATAATTGATTTAATAACATATATACACATGCACATACTGTATATATTTTAAATTTATGCGAACACTCTTCACACGTTTCACTTTCAATTTATGTATAATAAGTTTTTGCTTCAAAAAAAAAAAAAACACTTATACAAAAAGCAAACCGTTATTTATAAAATAAGGTTACGAAAGAAATGCATGTATATATAATACATATATAAATATATAGATATAGCTAATACAGAATATGTACGGCACAGAATGTGCTGCTTCCTTCCAATTCAGCTTTCATTCTTAATTACAGTACGAAAAAAAATTAAATTAAAATACAATTAAGAAGTGTCAGAAGGACAAAATGTTAAGTGCGACATTACACGTGTTTTTGTTGTTGGCTTTTGTAGTTATAATTGTTTGGGGCGCCGCGGTAGGTTTTTAAACGTTAGTTAATTAATAAGCAAATACAATGTACGCCTTCTTGTTTACATAGTTATCCTCTGTTTTCAATAATATTGTTATGCATTGTAATAATATATACGTGTATACTTGTATGTATACATATTATTGAGTTTTCGCTGCTCCGGCTGTGTGCCACATGAGGGCCTCATCAATTGCTGTTGCTGTTGTTGTGGTTGTTCTGATTCTGCTGCTCCACACTATCCATGTTTGGCACATAATCCAATGCCATCATACAGGCAAACACAGTCATAACCATCTTCGGCTTGACCTCGGTAATGTCCTCGGGCAGGGCGTAGACGCGGGCACCAATTTTGCGCGCCATGGAGATGGCGTACTTGGCATTCGCCAAATTGTCCTGCGAATACAAAATCGAAGTAGATGAGATAAATATTTATTTGATGCAAGTGTATATTTGTTAAGTTTATGGCAAAGCATGTACAAGATTATTTATATTGTACGTTATAATCTCATGAATGTTCAATGAAGAAATATTCTAATTAGGTAATCGAAGCAACCCAAAAGGAGGCGTGCTATTGATAGAGTTTATATCACTTCTAAATTCACTTTTCTTCCATTTGAAATCATTTAAATTAATCTAACTTCTGAAAAGCCTCTTTATGGGTGTATACGATAATTGGTTGGCACGAGAGATCGCAAATAATTACCGAGTGCGTGTGCATTTTAATAAAAAGTCATTTCATGGAATTAAAGTGTGGGATCTAACAGTACCTTTGTAGGTTCGCGAGTTGAATCATGACAGAAAGGAAACTACTTTAAATTAATTATTAATTTTACATTTTGGTTTGTAGTACGCGCTTAGACAAAAATGTTGTTCCATTCTCTATAATAACGAATTATACGCCCAATACTATTTATGTGAATTTCATATACACAGCAGAGAGTCAAAGCAATTGCCAAAATAATCGGCAGCGCTGGCATTTATTTATTTAATAATCGCACAAATATTTTAATATGCTTTTAGATTTAAGCAGTAACAGGTATTATGCTGTAAAATAAGTGTTTTTTACTGAAAATTAAATCCGAAAAAATATTTGAATGCCATATGAGCCAGCTATGTTAGTTGTTGAATCGCAAAAAACGTCTAAAAAATTTGAAAAGGGGACAAATCTCATTCCGCCAACTGGAAGTTTTCTTTTTACAGGCCCTTTTTCCAATTCTTAGAAGCACAAGCAACATTGTACATGATTTCTGGTATGATTTCGAAGCATCTTCGAATGATGTGGAAAAACCAAAGGTTTGAATGTGTTTAATAAAAGGTGCCACTGATTTAAAGGCCACGATTATGACCTACAAATTAAACAGGATTTACACCCAGAAAGGAAAGATTTTTTGTAATTATTGGTGGAGTGGGATAATGTGCCTCGGTTTTGAAAGTATCTTGCAAAGGGCTGTTCTAAGCGTTACTTTAAAATCATTACATCGATGGTACTTATATGGGATATGTATTCATTACTGCAGTATGGTCGATAACACCTACATAAGTATGTACAAGTATAACTGTAGAGTGTCATTTATGGAACTTGTTTGTATTTTTAGATTGAAACCGATTGTGCTTACCTCTTCTGTGCCGCTGGTGCGCACCAACTCGTAATTAATGCTGCCCTCCTTGATGGCATCGATCAGATCAATGACAATTTTGCCATCGGCTATGGCTGGATCATTAAAGTTGCGCAGTTGTGACTGCTTGCCCGCATCAGACAGCCGAGTGTTCACCCACTGTACAATTTCCTTCTCAATTATGGGATTACCTGTGTTAGCCAGGCGTGAGAGTATGGATAAGGTATACGCGCGCATCAGTTGCCAGATAAGTGCTGTGGGTTTCATATAAAATAATGAAATAAATTAGCTGATAAGCTCGACCTCTTTTGGCTCGATAAGAAAAGAAACACATACCCAAAGTCAATGTCGCATTGCCATCATTGAGATCCTGACCAGCAATGCCAACCAGGGAGAATTTGAGCTGCTTGCCCAAATCAACAGCATAGTTGCAGTTCTCAAGCTTCTCCATAAATTTGCGCAAAGGTGTAAAACGCTTGTGCACACGGTTCCAATTCACAATGCCCGGCTTGATGACATCGAAAAGCTGAAAGATGACCAGACCGTCGGCCAGGTCCGAATACAGCCAATTCACGTGCGGTGAGACACCCATGGAGTTCATCCAGTTGCGATACGCTGCGAAGGTTAGGAGTTGAAGCATGTTATTCATTTATAAGGCCTATAATCTAATTATCTAATGATGCTGGACGATGTCCGAGGTGACCGTTTCACCGTTTCAAAAGAATCTAAACATAATTCTGTTTTTACACGGTCTTTTTTTACACGATTTTGATATAGCACGGTTTGAAAATTAAAAATTCATATATATTTCTTTAGATATAAGGAACCAATCACCTATTTTTGCATATGATCAAAGTCGTTTTTTACACGGTTGTTTCTGGAACGAATCTACCGGTTAAAAACAGAATTAGGTGTACATGATATTGATTATAACAAGATCTACAGCATTTCGACTTAAGCTATCCATTTATTAAGATTCTGATGCTATAATACTATAATTGGCCCTCGTCGAACTCGGGGAAAACCTCGTATTAAGCGAAATTGTGCGAAACAAGACATGGACTCCATACAAAATATGGGGTTGCGTTCCTAGATTTCGACAAATGCGCAAACAAATTTCTACTGTTTAATTTTTTTCCACTGTTTTAGAGATTTAAAAATGTTAAACATTTACAAAATGTTGCTCCACGGTTGAATATTTATCACGAACAGATAAATCTTATTAAAACGGAAACTATTTTTAAGTGTAAAAAATGTTAAAGCAGCTTAATATAAAATTGAAAAACCATTCAATTTGGCATATAATCTAGTTAGAACCCATTTTTGGGCTAAACATTTCACAAAAAAAAGAAAGTGTTTTGTGATTGTAAACAACCGCAGGTCAAAATTTCTACCAATATCCATTCAACTTTGCCTCCTTAAGCTCTTTTATAGATAAAATAAACCAACAATTCAATCCAATAGGAATATTCTTTCCAGCACTGAATACATCGATGAAGTCAGTTTTAGTTGTATCCGAAATCCTTATGTTTTAAAAGTGTTAACTTTTATTATGCATTCAGATATAAGTAGCTAGTATTTATTGCACGTCCTGGGACATATTCTAACAAAAAAGTGAGTTAAAGTAATACGCTTCTTTTTTAAATATTTCTCAACTTCTATCATGTAAGAACGAGGTTTTCAGCGAGTTAAAAGAAATAAAAGAGAAAATGTAGCAAATTTTAATCGTGTTAGACCGAGGTCGTATTAAAAGTAGTCGTGTTATGCGAGGGCTAGTTGCATATAGTGCCACTACAATATAAATATAGTATACTATATACGACGTAGATTTACTTCTAACTATGATTATTAGAAGCACACTCCAAGTCTTAAATCGGCGCATTTCTGGCGCAGATTAAAAAAGATTCTTGGTTGGACTTCCTACGTGGTTTCATGGTCGGACGCTCGGAGCTCAATTTTAATATATTTTCTATTGTTGTCCTAGGGTGCTAGTCCCCCATTTGACAAAAAAAAACCCTGTTCCAAATAACTTTAAAAGTACTCACTTTTCTCCTCGCGCGTCTCCTCAATGGATTCGAGTCCCTCAATTTGCTCAGGTTTATCCAGTCCAGGATGGTTATTGAACAGATTTGCCACAAAGGCCAAGTTTAATTTGTACACGCCATTGACAACATCCTGGGCCGTCAGGAAGCTGCGGCAGTTCAATTTAGCCGCCTGTTGCAACATAATTTCTGCCCGCTGTGTCATATCTGTCTCACGCAGGGCATCTAAATTGACATTTGCATCGTTACCCGCAATTTGTTTCAGCAGATGCGAATATATCTCTGAATCGACAATGTCCGATTGGAAATTTGTGCAGCGACGCGAAATACCCGCCCGCTCCAGATGATGATTGACCCAGCGTAACAATATGGCCTCCGGGGACATTTTCATCAAGTCCTCCAGACGCTCGTTGTCGAATAACAGACCCGCAAGTCCTGGGCAGCTGTCTAAAGTGATGTGGCTGAACAGACCAATGCGGATGATTTGCCAGAGCAAGCCCAGCACTAAATGCGGCTTTCCCTTGGCCAGATCGTGGGCATCAATATTCACAATATTGCACCCAATAGCTTGCGAGGAGACCAGCGCCAGCGTCAGGTTCTCGAACTCGCGATAGACTGTCAGGTTCTTCTTGTTAATGGCGCGTTCATCAATTGTGTCGGGGCAGGAGTGGTTGATGATTTTGCACAGTAGGATGCCATCCTTAATCGATGGATATAGGCCCTTCCCCTCGCTATCGATGGGCAGCAAATGTAGCAAATCTTTGTCATGACCAAGATTCGAATTGATCCAGTCAGAGAAGGCCAGCTGCTCCTCCAGTCGTACCGAATGCGTGGTGCCCTCCGAAGAGATGCTCGACATGCCGCCCAGCGTCTCAAGATTCTCCTTTTTCGAGACGACCGTCTTAAATGTACTTGCCACATCTTTAGATTTTAGGTCCAAGCACAAGGTTTCGAATTCATCCAAATTAAGTTTGCCCTGATGGGCGGTGCGTTGTTTGCTCTTAAATTCGTCGATCATTTCACGCACTTGATAGCCGGCCAACTTGAACCCAACCTGATTGAGGGCATCCTTGAGCTCGTGAAGGTCGATGAATCCATCCTTGTTGGAATCCAACTGCAATATATAACAACAAAAAACTTGTTATTTATGATTTTAGAAATAAAACCGGTTCACTTTCCCTATTAATAAATTATTTTCATTTTAGATATTTATGAAAAAAGTACCACTACTTATAAGATATTGCAGTTCATTCAAGACATTTAAATACCATGAGTTTATAAGATGAAATGAGTTCAAAGAGCTTGCAACTATAGTCAAAGGTACACCCAGAGATTGCCTTAATAATGATCATTTTTCACATCAGACTCAAGGACGAAGTCCACAAGTAGGCGTGAAAGACCCCAATGTATTTACTATACTTTTGACGATAGAAATCAACCGGCAAACAGAGCACAGAATAAATGTGTAAGTATATTTATTTTGGAATGTAGAATGAAGACCGTGAAATATCCTGTGCCCAAACAAACTGGGCGTAAAACTGGAGCAACATTATTTCGCTATAATAATTAAATATAATAACAATAGGTTTCGTAAAGTGAAGGGGTTGAAGCGGTTGAGGCTAGAACTAGCCACCCCGCTTGCTAGCTTTCTCCCTCGTCTTAATATCCTTTGATGAGACAAACTTAGTGTTTGGTGTCTTCTCGAATGTTACTTGTATGCTGATCCAACTCTGGTACATTTGTCAGCCCCTTCGTTACCAATAATAGCATGACAATTGTTGCTTTCTTGTTGTTGCCAAAATAGAAATACTCGTATGTACACGTATAGTAGACACTCGTAAGCACATACAGATACGGAAGGTGTGCGCGTATGCGTACTAAAATATCCATGGGGCTACTCTCAGGAAAATTTGCATTTTCTATTTTTAGGCCAGCATGATGTGGGCACAAGATCAGTCGGGTTAAGTCAATCAGTCAGTTAGTCATCTGTGAATCATCACACTCATCAATACTGACCTTCGGAAATCACTTCGAATGCCAAAATGCTAAACAGCCGCCGCTACGTATCTGAATGACAGGGAAGCCATTCCACAACACCCCACTCCACCATCTCGTATTAATCGACCAACGATTTAGCTTATACTACACTGTATTATGTGCGTGCGCGTATAGGATAGATACATATGTATCTTACAACGTACGATATGTGTATGTACGTGTATATGTACAAGTAAGTATATACAATGCACAAGCACAAGCCATATGCCAAGTTTCCATCGATTACTTGGGTATCGTATAATGAAGTTTCATGCGTCAATTGACGACTATCAGCGAAAAAGTTGTGCCAAGGTAAGAGCAAGCTATCAACCACCGCACATAAAAATTCATTTGAATTATGGCCAATTATGCCACAAAATGGGCCAAATCTGCCACCCAAATCAGAAATATGCGATGTTTTTCATTTTTCCCCGATAAGCAGCGTATAGGTGCGGTCGTCGGGCACTATACGATAACGGTCTCTTTGTATAGTCGTTATACTCTATATTAATTGGACAAAGTGTATGTGTAGTCCGATACATACACAAAGCACGGTATGCGGCTGTTACTACAGGTTCTGTTTTTATATCTTGAAAATTCTTTGCTTTTTTGCATTCTTCATTGCGACAGCTGTTTAAAAACCATCGTTTGAAAACGATAGAGAAAAATACCTCTTCTTGATAAGTTTTGGATTCTATATTTTTAAACAACATTAAAAAACTCTCAAATTCTTAATTACATTCGTATTACTTTTTAATGTGAATTCAGGACATTCGCGAATGGCTATGTACTTTTTGTAAGATTCCAAATTACAAGGAAATAGGGAGACATAATCTTTAATTTCAAATGATTGAGTTTTCCGCGCGCCAAGTCAAGAATCTTAATATGAAGGAACAAACGACTTCATTTCGAAAATTGATTACCATGATTATGGGACACACGACTAATAGGAGAGACATCGTTCAATTAGTTTTCTGCCTATACATATAATTAGTATATTTTGATCAAGTTCGATCATTATACCCTGTACCCAAAGGGTAATGCATTTTTTACACGACTTTTTCTGGAAGCAATCTACCGTGTAAAAACAGAATAAGGTGTACTAGTTTAGTGCGAATGTATGTAACACACATAAGGATGCGTGGCAGACCCGTAAAAGTATATGTATTATTGATCAGTATGACAAGACGAGTCGATCCGTCCGTCTGTCAGTATGAGCGCAAGGATCTCAGCAAGATATCAAGGTTCCCATAAGCCCTAGGCAGATGGAGTTTGTTCCTTTTTTTCTAATTTGATTAAATTTGTTAAACTGCAGATGTACGAATGGATGCCAGGTTCAAATGCATGTTGTACATCACAACGAGCGAACGCAAAGTTCCAATGAGAAATTTCCATCAGACGGCGGTACACACTTATACCGTATGTATAGTATATGGACGTGTGTGTATGTACATACATAGGTACATATTTGTATACGACACACAGGCATATAGATTGTAAGGTATTGGTGTCTCGTTCGGTCGTTGGTTCATTTCGTGTCGATAAGATAAAGTAACTGCTAAAATGGCAACAAAATCGAAAATAGCAGCCAGATTACGTTCACATTACATATACTAGTACATTCCATATATGTATTTTATTCGGGACCTACGGATATACATAGGTGCATATGTATGTACATACTCGTATGTGTATTCGTTTGTATGTAAAGAATGCGAATGAACTTTGCTATTGATGGAAGCGGCTCGCGAATAAATTGATTAGGACAAACATCATCAAAATTGGCAACATATGACCAAAACACCTGATAGCGATTGACAGTTAACGGAAGTCATTTTTTATTTATTGGTGTGTATTAATATACATATGTATGTGTATATACTTTTTGGTCAAGTGGGTGCGGCAATCTGAAAAGGTGTTGTAGTTGAGTTGTTGAGGCCTCAACTAAAGCTACATACATACATACATGCATACAAACATACGAGTATGCATATCTGTTATTAAATTATACAGTCTAGGAGAAAAGAGAGGCAGGTGGTAAATAAATAGTAGAAGTTGATTGGCGTTAGCGATTTAATATTCGAAAACTGTACGAAATAGCTTGAACTTACATATGTACATATGTATGTATGTAGAAACGAGTATGTACATATGTACATATAAATCTGTTTATGGATTTATGCTTTCATTCTAATTAGCGCGAAGAAAGAAATGTTCCTTTAAAATGATATTGGTATTTTGCAAATGATTTCTGTAGATTTATATACATATGTATATGTATAAATGCACATAACTATATCTAAGGATGCCTGTGCATACATACATATGTACATATGTACATACATGTAACCACATTGAAAGAATGACTGCCCTATCTGGAATTAATTACGAATGCAAATTATGAGCCATGTAGATACGAGTATGTGCATATGTATGTATGTTTTGGGTATGTGTATGTATGTTATCGAACAAAAAACCATTAACAACACAACGACAAAAAGCTAATGATTACGTCAGTGCAGAGTGGTATGAGCAATAATTATAAAATTACAAATTTCTTGTAATGTGTGTACGCATACTTATAAATGTATGTATGTACATATGTAAAGATTTTAAGTTGGCACCTACATTGGGCAAAAGCTCCTCCAAATTCAGCTTAAACTCCTCAATTGTTTGATGCTGCTCTATGTTGATCATATCAGACATTTTTGTGTTTTTTGTTTGCGATTCTCTTGCGTGTCCCACGAAACAACAAAGACTTGTGTAATTATTTAGGCGCTTAATTTCTTGTTAATACTTAGCACACACGCCAAACTAAAGAGAAGAACAACAACAGGCAAAATATATAAAATATTTAAGTTTCGATCGGACGGGCGGGATGGCGCGTGAAAACAACACAACAACAAACAACACAACAATTGGAACACGCACACACTCTCGGCAAGCGCGATCGGAGCGGATCGGATCGGGAAAGGAACTAGGAGTAGTTGTGGAAAGAAATAGAAAAAGCGTGTGCACAGCAAGAAAAACCTTCAGCGAGTGAACCGTTAGATTTTCAAAGCATGTACCGTTTGTTTGCGAAGCCACAGGTGGAATATGGAGGTGCGCACGATAACAAGAAACGAGAGAGAGAGAGAGAGAGAGAGAGAGAGAGGGAGAGAACGCGCGCGCCTGAGAGAGTAGAGCAAGCAAGATAAGAACTTACAAGCTATGGATAACGAGAAACCGCGCGCGTGAGTTTGTCAGGAGCGTTGAAGAAATCTAAAGGAGTGTTACGTATGTATGTATGTATGTATATATGTATAGGACACGAATGCAGCGCCTTTACTCAAACGCTGGGCGAACTAAACTAAATGAGCGCCTGGCCTAGTACGCCCTATATATGAGGTGTATTACCGCAAACCATACAAAACCAATGACGGCTACTCCGTGGATTTTCTTTTATCGGAACCTAGAACCCATTCGTACCTAACGAGTACTCCCGCATACACAAACACATGCAAACATAGATATGTACTATATGTACATATGTACATATGTATATGTATAGTATTGAAGTGCTCGGTGCCACACAAATCGAACTGAGAATTCTTATCAGCAGTTGCTACCTAAACGTGAGCACATGGGCGCCATAATGCTGACTGGTCTGCGAATTTGTTTGTGGGGCGCCTTTGAGGCCAGTTTTGGGAACACATTGTCCAAGTACCGCCTGCATATTTGTACTTAGTCATGTCTTTAAGTTTAGTCAGACCACTCAGCGATTGCTCCGATTGCTTCATTTATTTTCAGCTGGTTAATCGGCATGATTTGTTTTCCTGCCAGAATTGGAAAAACACTTGCGCTGCTAATGGGCCAAGAAATTTACTTAAAAACCAAATTAAATTTCACAAACACACATATGTACACACATACATACTCGTACATATTTACTTATACTCGCATATGTGTATGTACTTGTACATATGTACATACATATGTATGTAGGGATTGCAGCATTCGCAGCTGCAAACGTGGCAACTGGCTCAAACCCTAGAAATTGCACAAAATCAAAAGTTTTTTATTCGACTTATGCATGTG